GGGGGGGGGAGGGGAATGAATCTCAGGTATTAAGCATTCTGGGAAGCCTGTACCTCTCAAGTACCTCAGCCTATGGGGAAAGAGAGAAGGGACATGTGGCCAGGAATTAGGATAAAAAGGAGGCTGCGCCCTCCAAAAATTTGAGAGACCCCAGGGGAATGCCCCATGGCCTCTCCCTTTATTCAAATAAAGTAAAAGGACTCCTCTGTCTCCTTTTTGGACATAAACCTCTGGTGTTTGTGGATTAATTTTCCTGACAATAATTTCTGAGCTGTTGTCTTGGGTTGCAATGCAAGATGAAACCAAAGGTATTCTGTTACCCTCTGTTAAAACCAGATGTGACAGTGTTCTTTATCTCTTCCAGGACCCATCCTCCCTCCAGGGGCATATCTTCTGTTACTGGGCCATTGAGTCAGTCACTGCATGACTGATAAAATTACATCATCCCATTGTGAGATGCGTCACCCAGGGCAGTGGAGCCAAGCATTCCGATTTGGATAAAATCAGACTCAGAAAAGCACAGGCAGCGTTTCTCCACTGGATTCCCAGAGGAAAGACCAGCTCCATCTACACCACCAGATGTTCAGAGGAAAGGTACCCCCTTCTATGGGATCATTGCTTCAACAGAACCACATCTGTCACTCCAGGAGGACTGCAGCCACCATTTAATTGGACTGCAACCAACACCCTGACAAACAGGGTGTCAGGGTGTATTCTGACTGTCAGTGGGTTGTTCAGGTTTTTTCTTGTTGGTTTCTTTTTTTTACTACTGCATTTTTATTTTAATTTTCCTAGTAAAGAACTGTTATTCCTATTCCCACATCTTTGCCTAAGAGTACATTGATTTCAAGATTATAATAATTCAGAGGGGGATGGTTTACATTTTTCCATTTCAAGGGAGGTTTCTGCCTTCTTTAGTACACACCTGTCTTTTCAAACCAAGAGAGCAGTATGCAAGTAACATTTTTTAAAACAAGTAAATGTCCAAGCTTTGTCCTAGACAATGGATACTGCCCAAGACAAGGGGCAAAGACTTGCAAGAATCACTTATTTTCCCCAGGCTTTTATCCAGAAATACCCAAATGATCAGCTTAAGACAGTAAAAATTCAAAATACAGCCTGTCTGATGAATACTCAATGTCCCTTACGGGAATCATACTTTTTTTCTGAAATAGCACATACCTGCGGAGGAAAAGGAAAACAGGCTGCAGAGACCTAGAAAGCAGCCCTCTCACATACAGTCAAGTTGAAAACCACTTATTATACCCTGAGGAAAAAGCCAGAAAAACTCTGAGTAGTAAGGGGGTTAAAAAAAAAAAAAAAAAAAAAAAAAAAGGTATTTCAGTTCAAGAAGTTTTGCTTCTGGAAAAAATGAAAGGAAAACAACAGGCAGTATTCTGGAGATTGTGAGGGCAGTGCTACAACAATAGCTACTACTTGGGACCAGTCTATACAGCAGGAATTGACAATAGACATATACCAGTTTCATATCACACTACAGTTTTCTCATGTTAATAGAGATGCAGTTAAGCAAAAAAGCAGCTTAAGTCAGGTCATATTGTAAACTTCCATCTGCTGATACAGACCCCCCCTCTCCATATTTTACACTGTATCCATTTCATACTTAATTTCTGGTATTGGCTGACTGATAACCTCATTACAGAAGAAAAGAACTCACTCTGCTGAACAGCACAGCTACACCTGTATCTGTAAATCCAAGAGCTCCCAGTGATATTCCCAGATATTGTCAACTTCTATAATAGTAAGCTCTCAAAGCATTTCTTTGGCCTGTTCTTGGACAACCCCAAGCTCTGTGTGGCAGCTGGAGCATTTAAGGGAATGCTCTCATCTTGTGAAGTTTAAGACAGCAGAATGCTGACAGCTCCTATCCCAGTGCCTAGGTGTTTCATTTATTTATACAGAATCATACAACAATTTTTAGTTCCATCAAAATTAAATAGTATCTCTGAAGAAAAGTTTTTCAGAGGTACAAGACTCATAATGTGGTGTTCTTTCACAGTTCTTTAAGTGTGATAGCGAAGGCATTAAACAATTCATAATTTCTTTCGGGGTTTTTGTGCCCGAGATTTCATTTGCAATAATTTTATTTTACTATCTGCAGTGATGGTGTTGTGTTTTGAACTGGCATAACAGACAGAAAAAAAATCTACATTATTTAAATAAAATTGTGGTAATGAAAAACCTTATTACTAAAGTTGTTAAGATGAAATATTAGATAGTTTCTCATGTTAAAAAGGTACAATTGTTCAATAAACTTGTCTTGGTTTGGAAGACAGGTGTCTGCTAGGGAAGGCAGGAGCTTCCCTTGGAATGAAAAACGTAAATCCCCTCCCTCCGAATCACTATAATTTTGAAATTAAGGGGCTCTCAGGCAAAGATATGGGGATAGGAATAACAGTTCTTTGCTAGTATGTATAATAAAGCAAACAAACAACAACTCTGGCATTAACACCAAACAGAAGGGGAACCCAGTGACCCTTCTTGGCCGCAGGTGCTTTCCCCATTGATGCAGTTCCGGGAATGGCCAGCAGGGGCGCTGCTGCTCCCGGGGGACAGGAGGTGCGTTGATTCCCCCGTGGCTGCAGGGGCCGCTGTGGTGTGGGCGTGGGGAGCACGCGGTAATGGTGGCATTGTCCGAGACAGGAAGGGGTGGGAGAGAGGCTTTGCTTTACAAACCCCCCCTGGGACAGTCGGTCCCGGTGTTCCAGCAGGACTTATGGAAACAGCAAGCTGGGCTGGCAGGAATGAGCAAAAATCCCAGGGTGGCAGCAAGACATATCAGAAGTTCCAGAGCTGTGGCTGGAACCGCGGGAAGCCTCAGCAGGAAGGAGGTGCAGGACCACAGTGCAGCAAAAGCTTGGAGCAGCACCAAAGAGCAATGGGGACAGAATAGTGGCAGCCCAGCTCCCAGCAGGGCAGAGAGGGGGGAGCCCAAGATCCAGGCACCCGATCAGACAAGGATAGGTCTCTTGTTTAATGAGCTAGATATTAATAAGGTCTCAGTACAACACAGCTCTTATGAGCAAAGGCTCACCCACAGAAAGGATGAGGGAGTACAGGACTGGGCTCTGGTGGTGAATTCTCTTTGCCCTAAGCAGCAAATTGCCTGTCCTCCTTGAAACCCAAAGTGAGAGCTCCCCCGCAGCTCCCCTACCCCTATCGTTTTGCCTGTCCAAATCTCCAGGTATCCTCTCCCTTGAGTTTGGCCACTCTTGTTTTTCTTAAGTACCCATAATTTCCCAATAGTTAGTTTCTCAGCAACTTATGGGAAAAAATTCCATAAGTACAAAAGAAACACAACCCCCAACAAAACCCCACAGTGCAGCCTGGCAATAGGTCCCTCTCCACATCTGTTTTGGATAGTTACCTTATGGATATCCTGCTTTGGAATTCCACACAGTGCGCAGTAATAATAAAGATGCTCCCAGCCTGTTAAAAGTTCATCCAGAGCATCTTGCTGTGGACAATATCCAATAATACTTTCAGAGCTAGCTGAGAGTATATCAATTTCAGACCTGTTTAAAGAAAAAGAAAAATTCTTGAATGTTGCTTAACACATCCCATGGCCCTGGGTTCCACCCCTGGGATACAAGACAAACACGCATAACCTCAAGTCTGCAGATAAAGGAGTTTGAGTCTCTTTGCCGTGGTTACTTAGAGCAGCATCATCCACAAACAATGCACACTTTTTGTCCCTTTTGGATTAGCACAGCCTACCAGCATGTCACTGTTGTGACAGTGTGTGTGTCAAGGTCAACAGACCAGCACATGAGAATTAATGCTTACCAGTTTTATGTCTCTTATCTTTTTGGTAGTACCTGCTCTAAGGAGATACATTTCAAACCACATGGTGCTCATATTGGATATTATACTATATACAATATTATATTTGTATCAATAACATTGAATATTGAAGAGGAAGGACTTGAGGGAGAGGGAAATGTTGCTGTGTATTCTTTGTCTGTCTATAACCACACATACGCATGCATGCATTCTCTAAACAAGTGTAAAACAAAACACAGAATATTAAAGCCTAGTAATTTAAAAGACAATACTGGAAAAAGTATCAAATTATCCTGATTTAAGAGACTTTGGCCTTCACTTTGTAGCTTTAGAGCATTACTTGAAATTATGTTCATTGCTAAGAAGCAAGCTTGATTGCAAGGGTGTCTCATTACCCATAATGACACTAAATCTATCCTATTTATTCCAACATCTAATTCAACACTCAATGATGCTGATTTACATGCATGGAAAGACATGTCAAAATGAAGATACTTAATAATAAAAAAATCTAAGCTTTGAAAGAAAAAAGTTTTCAAAAGATTCTGAGTAACAGAATGTTTTTCCTCTTAGTGGTTTTCTATATTGCTGATTAAAAGAATTAAATATATGACTAATAATTTAGACACAAAGTAAATGCATTAATTGCAGGATCTACAAATACCAGCACTAATGAAAATATAAATATGTATCTCCTATTAACAAGATTTACGAGTCTGGGGTGAAAAAATTCTGCATTTTACATAATGAACCACAGCATGAAAATATATTTTAATGCCATCAAAAGATAAATTAACATGATTATGACAAATGTTGCCATGGACTAATTAGAATGGTACTTTGCTGTTAATGGCAAAGATAAAAGATTATGGTATCTTGGTTGTTTTGGATGGTACTATGTAAGTTATCTGCCTGTAGACAAGACACTTCTCTAAACAAAGAGTTTGCAAAAAGCAGAGAGTGATAGAGGAAAGAGGATAACAGAAGTGTTCTTCCATAGTTTATATACATTTATAAGATATTTTCAGTGCAGAATATACAGAATTTTTACTGTCTCAGTTTCCAACCATACCTATGGCAAAATAAATCCTTCTTCTATAGTCATCATGAGATATGGATTGAATAATGCTGGTCTTTTTGTATAACCAGTCAGTAGCAATGTATTCCTTATTTAATTAATGTAGCAAAATACTATTCATGGTGAAATATTATCTAGATGCTGTTGAACATAGAGATGTGTCTGAGGTTTGTTTTGCTAGGAAGATTGCACAAGGTATTCTTTCAGTGCAGCTGCTGTCTTTAGAGAAACAAGAGACGGCTTTTGGTAATATGCCAAGTTCAGTCAGAAGAGAACAAATAGCAGTCAGGGGTAATTTCAGGTACATTTACTCAGCATGAACTCTGTAGCTGGATAGAAACATCTTGCCTACAATGGGCCCCTACCATGAAGAACAAAAATGTGGACAGCTGCAAAAAAACCCCAGACATCTAATGTTCTTTAGCTAGAATTATATTAGAGCATCCTTACTCAGTTTGCATCAGGAAATAAAAAGTGTCCTCAGTGCTAATTGTACACACAGGGCTCTAGTGCTCTGCCTATGTAAAGCACTCAGTCTAAGGTGAACAGTATCCCACTCTCCTGGTTTAGGGCAAATTTGGGAGAGAACTTCTGAATGGTGTCCCTCCAGAAAGCAAATTTAAGCGGCTCCTCCCCCAACTGGTTTGGGAAAAAGATTTCTTTGGAAAGAAGTGGAAAAAAAACCCGTTTATTTAAAAATAAAACCTCACCGTTTGATGAGATGGAAAATCTAGAAAAGTCTTTTTCATGTGGTGTAGCTCAACTCACTCAGTTTCTTATCAATCCCTCTGGCACTGGGAAGTGCCAAGGCCCAGGCCCCAGTGGGGCACAGGAGTGAACTCCTGGGGTTTGTCTGGGTTTTCAGTCCAGAGTAGGTTTGAACAGATCCAGTAAAAAGGAAAAAAACAGTCCGGGGAACTTCTCTGCCTCAGATAACTAAAAACTAACTAAAAGTAAAGGAGAGCTCTGTCCCGCTGTCTGTCCGTGCTGCAGATAACACACCAGGAGCAGGATGCGGGGGAATGAGGGCTCTTTTTGAACACAAACTGCAGCTTCTTCCCCCTTCTTCGCTCTCAGAGCCAGTCTTAAAGGTGCAGAACTTAATATGTAACATAAACAGGGCTACTGGAGAAACAAGCTTCATAAAGTCACCCCACAATACCCACCCACTGACCTTTAGCTTTCATAAAGTGAGGGCAAAATGAGAATGCATAATTTAATATTCTTAGTCAGTTTGGTCCCTTATTTTGCAACTCTATCAGTTATTGCTGACCGTGAACCCTTCAAGACTTCCCATTAACACAGAGATTCTACTGTATTCACTAAAGAACTCATTTCCACCTCACTCCTCTCCCTCCTCTCTGTATCTATCAAATCAAAAACAATCCAAACAAAAGAACAACAACAAAAAAAACATATTAGAATTCTTTTGTGTTTTTTTTTTAATGTGCAGTATAATGCCTCTTCCTTCATCAACATCACAGATTAGATTTTCAAATCAAAATTCTGGACATTATAATTCAATTTTGTTTAGCCAGGTCCTAAGCTTATTCTGAAGTAATAAACAGTGTAAATAAACAATACATGAAAGAAAATCACATTATCATTTTTATTATAGTAAGTATGGTACAACAGAAAAAAAGCTCCCATCTTAGGAAATTGTCCTTGAAATTCAGTTAATTTCTCACATTTCATTTTCATGGGTCTAAATTAGATGATCATTTCAAGTAGTGATGGCATGATACCAGAAAATCTTCTTAGTAAATAATATACTGTAAATATTCTTCCCTTTCCTTTTTTTAGTTTCTGATTCAATTCATTAAACTAATTTTAATTCTCTTCTTCCTTAACAAACATCATCATATGTGCCATTATCAGAATGAAATTTGAAATACATTTTTTAATATTTTCTGAAATATAGATTAGCATGCAGAAAAACGGTGATTATTTTTTTCTCAAGCTAGAGAAAAACAGCCGTTTGTTTTCTGCCCTATTATTATCAGGATGCCAGAATTTTTCACTAGACTATTCACATTAAAAACAAGACATACCAGAGGAAAAAAACAGCTCATTTTATAAATAGAGAGAAAGAACATGTAAATATGGATTCCAACCCCTCTCAGGGCTTTTGTCCATAGTATACAGTAGACATAATGAAATCTAGTGTAATATCTAAAAATTATATGGAGGAAAACAGGCTTTTACACTAATACTCAACTTTCTGTATCTTTACAATAACACAGTGTACTTGTTATCTTTGAATTCCTTTAGTAATTTTAATTACATCATCTGATCAAGTTAAGATAAAGAACATGTTTTGTCCTTCACTTTTAGACTACATTCTTATGCTCAGTCAATTCTTCCCCATTAATTAAGTTTTACTTTAGAGTGAACAGCTGCAACAAATGATATCACCAGAATAGTTCTAGAAATATTTCTATTTTAAATGCAGTTTTAAAGTTGCAGAATTGCATTTCTAGAACTCCTTTAGAAATGGTCAACAGAACATCTGGCATCTTCAAGAAAAATAGGGAAGTCTAGTACTTGAAGCATGGAAGATTTTGTGTTCCATCCCTGTCTAAGTACTTTAGTGAGAATCATGATATTTTGGTGCAAGACATCCTGAGAAAACATCCAGGACTCAATAAGACTTTCCTCACTGTGGAGTCCTCATCTCATAGTTTTGTACTATTGAAGAAAGAAAGTTGCCAGACTTTCAAGATACTAGGATCATAAACTAATAGCAAAGTATAGAAAAATTTTGATTGAAAGTTGTTCCTCCACTGACCATTTCAAGGCTTTTTACATTAATCTATTTATTCTGAGTGCTTAAAGAAAGCCCTACAATCTGATTTCAGGTCATATGGGGGTGACATGGGGCACTCTGGTCAGAAAGCGTTTGATGACATTGAAAAGAAACATAACCACTGACAAACCTATTTCCTTCTTCTGTATAAACTGGACCTGAAGTTTCCAGAAGGCCAGAGTGGCTATTGCAGAACTAGATTTGGATCTTGTTTTTTACAATGCTTACCACCAGCATTGCTTATAGGTGGTTGTGGGCTGGCATTCAAAGGTAAACCTCAGTGTTGGGTTTCCAGAGACAACTTAGTACCCCCCATATCAGTCTTATGGCTGGTTTAGTAAAATTGTTTCACTTTTGGCTCCACTGTGTACTCTGTTTCACTTTCATATGCCTTTTCTGAAGTTTTTGAATACAATTAAATGCAGTGATATTTATCATATTATATATATATATATTATTATATATATATATATATATATATATCTGCTTCTGCAGAGAGAGAAATTCCATTAATTAGTCAAAATTAAATATAAATTTACAAATTGCAAAAGTACTTTTCATTGTACTCATAACTGCACATTCAATTCAGTGCATACTAATGCTCAGTTAACATTAAAAATAATCAAGGTTAAAATTTCAGCCATTATATTGATGTAAATTTATTCTTTCTTTCAATTAAGCTATTTGAACTACATTTTTAATTATTTATCAAGCTGAATATCATACCTATTAAAATAGTTGAATTTCTAGCTATAAAGAGATATTTTACTTTTCCCTCTTTGTAGAGATTTTTTTTGGTCCTATGGCTTTGTAATCCAACAGCTGAGATGACTGGCAAATAGGATGGG